GTCCTCCAAGGGCTTGCCCAGCGTGTAGACGAAACCACAGTCAAGGCAGATGTGCGTTTAAATGGATTCTCACCTTACGTGCAACACACACCTCACATCCACACGTGTGAAGGACAGGACACAGCAAGCAGCCCAGCCACGCACCTGATCCTCAAAGGGCTTGCCCAACGTTTGGATGAACCCACAGTCAAGGCAGATGTGCGCGAAGATTTGACATGTTCCCACGCCACCTCACACACAGAGCACACACTCAGTTGCCTACACACACAGCCTACATGTGCCACTCACCTGGTCTTCGAACGGCTTGCCGAGTGTGTAGATGAAGCCACAGTCAAGGCAGATGTGTGTTGCCCGCGCCTGACCAGGAACGAGAGGGCGTGGAGAAAGAGGAAAAGAGTGAGAGGACAACGTAAGGTGGGGAAGCGAGGGAGGGAGGGCAGGAAGGCACATCTTGCAACTCCATGCAAGACCCATTCCTCCCCATTACTTCCCGTTCCGAGCTATACCTTTCAGTTCCATAGCTATACCCTCCGAGCCTCCACCCAATCACTGCCACATTATGAGGCGCCTCAAAACGCAACTCCATGCCAGCTGACCCGTTCCTCCCCATTACTTCCTATCCTTACAAATCCATAGCCCTACCTTCCGAGCTTCCACCCTGTCGTTGCCACATCCTCCTTATTCCATCCCACGTTCCCCCCGTCTAGTTCCACTCTCACGCCCCCACTCCCCCACCTTCTGAGCTTCAGTCAGCTTGCACCCGAACCAGGACTGCACCAGCACTCCAATAGTCAATGAAGAATCCATCCGCCCATCATAACCGGACCACACCACTCACATGGCCTCCTCACGCCTCACTCCACCCTCTCACCACCACCGCCTAATGAGTCGATCAACAAATAAACCCTCTCCAAACAGCACAGCCAGACCCCTCACACAGACTCCTCACACAACATCCCACCCGCACGACCCCATCCCCCCACCTTCTGAGCCTCAGTCAGCTTGCGCCCGAACCGGGAAGGCGCAGGCCTCTTGGGCAGGCGCTTCACGTCCACGGCGGCGCCCCTGGCGAAGGAGGGGAGGGGGAGGTGCAGGGCAGGGGAGAAGGGGGGAAACGATCAAGGACGTGCGAGAATATGCAAGGGCTCTTGGGCAGGCGCTTCACGTCCACAGCGGCGCCCCTGGGGGAAGCAACGAGGGAGGGGGAATGGAGGGGAAAAAAGGGGGGGAGCGTTCAGGGGCGTGCGGAGTATGCAAGGGCCTCTTGGGCAGGCGCTTCACGTCCACAGTGGCGCCCCTGGGGTGAGGAAGGGGGGAGGGAAGGGCGTGTGGGGGAGGCGGGGGGTGGGAGGAAAGGGTGAGGGAAAAGCCGCAGAGGGCGGACGGCGCGGATCTCTTGGGCAGGCGCTTCACGTCCACATTGCATTGCCGCCTCTGGCGGGTAAGAGGGCGCGGGGAAGGGAGGGGGTAGGAGGCGGGGGAAAGAAGAAAGGGTTGGGGAAGCTTTCAGGGGTGGACCTGCGCGGGGTCCCTTGGGCACTCGCTTCACAGGGCACTAGCTGCTGCTCCTTATGCTACGTCAGGGAAGCACGAAGCCCTCGGCGAACCCGGCGAACATGAAGTCGGCGAAGTCCGGATTCGCGTGTGCGACAATGCGGGTTACCCGAGTCGAGTCAGGTCTAGGTGGGTCGAGAGAGCATTTGCACGCGTCTTACAACATTGGTAACCCCAGGTTACATCTTCGCGCATCAGGTGTCTCACGTCTCTTCCAGATTCGCGACGCACCTGGCGAGGACGAAGTAGACGGAGTCGGGCTTGGCGTTGACGACAACGCTGGTAACCGGAGGCTACATTTTCGCACATCACTTTCGCACACACCTGGCGAACTTCGCACACACCTGGCGAGGACGAAGTAGACGGAGTCGGGCTTGGCGTTGACGGCGGTGCGCGTGAAGCCGAGGTTATCGGACGGCCAGAGCTCGTCACCAAAGAAGCTGCTCGTGTACACCACTTGGTCGCCGGCTTTAATGCCCGCCTTCGCCGCGTTGCTTCCGGGGGCAACACCCTGGGTATCAACATAGGAGGGTAAGGGGGGGGGGGGATGAGGGGAGGCGAGGAGGGGAGGGTGTGGTTTGAGAACGCGGGGAGCGCACGGCCAGAGCTCGTCGCCGAAAAAGCTGCTCGTGTAGACCACCTGGTCGCTGGCTTTAATGCCCGCCTTCGCCGCATTGCTGCCGGGAGCGACGCCCTGGGAATACCGAGGGAAAAAGGGTGGGGGGAGAGAGAGGGGGTGAGATTGCGGAGAGCGGACGCGGAAACTTTTGGGAAATTTCAAAAGTGACTCCCATAAGGCTGCAAATGCTGAAGAAGCTGCTCGTTTTGCACCACCTGGTGGACACGTGGACGCGTCGTTATCTATATTCTGAGTGGGTCTCACCAAGATCTGCCCGCCGCCGGCTGACTTGTCGCCTCGAGTTGGAGGGGACGAAGTGGGAAAGCGGAAACGTGGGGGGAAAGAGGGGGGAGGGGGGGCAGAAGGAGGGGAAGAGTTGACGGGGGGATGGAGGGGAAGGCGGACGGGTGGGGGGTTGGGGGGAAGAAGCGACGCGGCTCACCGAGATCTGCACGCCGCCGCCGGGCTTGTCGCCGAGCGTGAGGCCGAGCGGCTTGTCCACCTCCACCTCGTACTGCCCGCCCGACGTGCGCGCCGTCACCGTCGCCGGCCGGCCGGCTGACTTGGCGGCCTGGACTGGCCGGCCAGCCGCCTGGGCCTGCTGGCGAACGGCCTCGCCGAGGAATCCCGTCTGCGACAAGCGACATCGGCAAATGGGGAGTGACACGATTACACACGAAACAATACCGAACTGTTGACATCTTCACCCCCATTCGCAAAGCATCCGGCTGACTACCAGCTCAAGATAAACTCTCGAATTCGTTCAAATTCAACACGTTCAGGACCGAGCGTTGTTTCTTACCCGCAGATTGCGCTGCTTGAGCGGCACGAGTCCAGCGGCGCTGAGAGCATTCTCCTGGCTGACGGCAGCAGTCAGCCTCGGCGCGACTATCGCCTTAGCTGACGTGGCAGCGACGGAGGAGAGGGCCATGGCGGGTGCGGGAAGGAGCAGCGCGGGAGGAGAATGCGGAGACTTGCTGCTGGAATGTGTTTGGCACAAAAATTGATAAATTCTGCTGAAATTGAATTTACACTCTTCATGGATTTTAGGACGATGTTCCCAGGGTGGTTGCGTTGCTGACTCAGCATCACGAAACCAGCGGGAGTCTGCTGTTGGAGATTCAATGCCAGCTGGAACCCCCTCTTTGGTTCGACGAGCCGTGAACGACGTGGCCGTGATTGGTGTGTGGATAACGAAATGAACGCGTGCTTGTTGCGAGATGGACCATCGTTGTTGACGAATTGACTTGACATGACACCCTTTTCGTCGCTAGAGGGGATGCGAAGGTCTGGCGGAAATCGAGGCGAAGTAGCGATGGAGGGCTCCAAACACCGACGTGGCGACTATGCCATCTTGTGGCTTCAAATCCTTCCTGTGTCCAGTTCTAGACACCGGGATACATGTATTGCTGGACGCCACGTTGCTTCAGATATCGTCCTTCATAAAGGAGCACGCATTAAGACGAAGAGGAAGCTCTTTTTATTTTTGAATCGTTAATGCACAAAACAATTATTACAGGCTGAGGTAGGTCCTAATATTTAGCAAGCCGGAGAGAAACCCAACAGCGTGGCAGGTGTGATTGTACTCGACTGGAAAGACACATACAACCGACTAGCATCCCGTCGAAGCGCAACCCACCGTACAGCAGCGCATTACTGGTTGCAATCACAACTGCTGTTATCGGTAAGCCAAAGAACTGCGTGCCTAACGTGCCCCACCCACGTGGATACAACGCAATCGAAGCACTCTATACACACATCCCCGCTACCAAGAACGCCAAATCAGCGCCCTTGCTGCACCGAAAAAGCACCCTTTCCCCATGCCGACCTTGTGCACCTACCCTCCGACACCCGACACTGTTTAGGGCCGTCCGATAGTGGCTTGCTTGCCAGATGGGCGTAATAACGAGCAGCGTAGCGTGTCGCGAGTTGGTTGGTGCCATGTTCCCTCATCCTGCTGCCACGGAACGCGGTCCGTTCACTGCGCCGCTTTTTACTTGTCCGCGTGCGATACGAGTGCAATCACGAGGATCATCAATTTCCTGTCAATCAGGAAAACCAATGTCCGCACCCCCATCCTCCGCTAACATGAGCGCATCAGCACTATGCGCTATGCAACGCAACAGCACCTGTCCCGTCCAGCGGCCAACACGTTGTATCGCTGCGTTTGCAACTCAATCGACAGCCCCCAGTTGAAGGCACAGTGGAAAATTGTGGGGCTGGTTGCGCAATTTCCAACCAATCAAGAGGCACGATGATCTTGTGCCAATCTCACCACCAAGGGGCCCTTGCCCTTGGCGGCAGCTCCCCTACACCCCTCGATCGACTTCAAGGGTGGCGCGGGTTGCGCGGATGGCGCTGGTTGCGCCTTACGCGCAGCGACCACCGAATGCTGCTGTCGCGTCAACTCAACTCGAGCGTCGAGTAAATTTAGGAGTGACTCCCCCTCCGCGCACCCTCCCCTCACCTTCCCTGCCGCGGAGGAAGAACGAGAAGCCTTTGCCGCAGCGGCGGCGCTTCTTGGTTTTACAGAACCAGAAACTCCAGTCGCGATCAGCCGCGCTTGCCCAGTTGCCCGTCACTCGAAGTGGACCTCGCCCTTGGTCCCTCCCGAGTCCCGATTCCCCAGAGTCCCGAGCCCACCAATGATATCATAATCGAAGTTCGGAGTCTTCCCCTAGCGCGTGGCCTAGCATATATATCGCACACTTGCTCCTCGTAGTCCTTACTAGCTGCACTACTTTTCCTTCCGAGCTTTACTGGTGGAAAAGCCACGAGTCCTGAGTCCCGACGCGCAGTATTGGAGTCCGTAGTAGTGCTTCCGCTCATGGCCTCTCAGAGCCCGCACCGGCGGGTAGGCGCTTCTCAAGGCCCGCACTGGCGGGTTCTTGCCGCGTCTGCGCTTCTCGCGCTGCTCCTCTTCGCGCCGCCCGTTCCCGCTCGCGCCATGGGCGGCGCCGATCACGGCGGGGATGAGGGTGGGGATCACGAGACGCCGTCGCAAGGCAAATTAACGTCGCGAGACGTGTCGATCAGCAGCAAGCGCGCGCTGCGGAAGAAGCTGAAGAAATTTGTGGATCCGCTGCCCATTCCCCCTGTTGTCAATGCGGACCGGCTTTCGAAAGACTCCAGCGGCGCCGCTGCTCTCACCATCACCGCGTTTAGCGTGAAACGGGTGAGCTACTACCGGGACATTGGCATTTGTGCTTGGTCTGTTTGTTTGTTTGTTTTTTCCGTTACGTCATAGCTCGTTCTGGTTTGGAAAACGTCATCCTTGACGTGTAATTGTCCTCTCTTATCGCAGAAATTTCACCGCGATCTGCCCGTAACCCGCGCGTACGCGTTCGGGCTCACACGAAAGTCGGCCAGCGTGCCTGGACCTACGATCGAGGCGCGCGTCGGAGCGCCACTGCACGTGACGTGGCAGAACAACATCACTGATCAGCAGCACATCATGCCCGTCGATTACACGCTGATGGCTCCTAAGCTCAAGAAGGGGGGCGTTCCTATCAGTACGCACCCTTCCTCCAAATACCCTTATCCCTTGGCAAATGGTTGTCTTGAATTGGCTCCGAAATGTATTTATCATTCCCAGCATTGCGGTGTAGCGTTATGTCTATTTCAGACATTTAATTTCCATCTTCCCCCCTCCCCCTTCTCCCCTGCTGCAGCCGTCCATCTGCACGGCGCGCAGGTCTCCAGCTCCTACGACGGCCACCCGGAGGCTTGGTACACGCACTTGGGAGAGAAAGGTCCCGAATTCGAATCCAGCCAGCACCATTATCCCAACATGCAGCCGCCCAGCACCATGTGGTACCACGACCACACCTTGGGAATGACGCGGCTCAACATTGTTGCAGGGCTCTTTGGAGCGTACATTCTGTCCAATCCGCGGATGGAGAGAAAGTTTAACCTGCCCGTGGGCAGGTTTGACGTGCTGCTGCTGATCCAGGACAAGTCGTTTCTGTGGAACGGGCACACGTTCATGGAAGGGAAGGGTGTGACTAAGTCACATCCTGAGTGGGTTCCTGAGTACTTCGGGAATTTCATGACCGTCAATGGAAAGGTACGTATTCCATAATAACTACATGAGGGTTGGGTAATCACCAGTATCAGCTATAGGCAGCCGAAATTGCAGGCTGTGGTTCCTACCTAGAGTTGCTTGGGCTGCTTTAACTATGATGGCTCTGCGGCTGCTATCACTGCAGCCCTGCTGTGTACTGCCATGGTAGCATTGCTGGGGCATGCGTGCTATGGTACTAAGGTTGATATGGGTTGCTATGCTCCTTCCCGCACTCACTCCCTCTCTCAACTCCTCAACCACTCTCTCTCACAAGCCCCACACATGCTGTACAAAGTCCCAACACTCACACCAATAAAACCCTATTTTTATCCCCACCCTACCCCTCTCCCCGTCCCCCTTTCCCCAGGTGACCCCCTTCATGGCCGTTCAGCGTCGCAAGTACCGTTTCCGTCTCATCAACGGCTGCAACGCCCGTTTCCTCGAACTCGCCCTCAGGGCCTCGGCCCCCGTTTCCGACAACCCCAGCAGCAGCAGCAGCAGCACCGCCAACAGCACCGGCAGCATCACCTTCCCCTTCCTCCAAATCGCCTCCGAAGCCGGCTATCTCAACCACCCTGTGTTCCTCCGCAGAATCACCCTTGCTCCGGGGGAACGCGCATGTATCGTTGTGGATTTCAGTCAGCTGCCCGCAGGGGTGACAATCCGGATAAAAAACCGAGCTCCTGCACCGTATCCCGGGGGTGATTTACCCACGGGGGATCTACAGTACGTCATGCAGTTCAACGTGGAGGGTGACCCGGTTACAGACCCGTCTACAGTGCCGGGAAAGCTGAACTCTATCCCGCTTCTCAACCTCAAAAATATTGCCAAGACAAGGGAAATCACCCTTTCAGAAATGGAAGACAAGGAGAGCGGCAATCCTTTAATGGGGATGATTGACAAGAAGCACTATGACGAGAAAGTCGACATTACGCCGACATACGGCACCCGGGAACTATGGTACTTGATCAACCTAACGGAAGACACACACCCTATCCACATCCACTTCTCCCCACATCGCATCCTCTTCCGCCGGCCATTCAGCAAGGAACGCTATGAGGACAAGAAATGCAGCATTCCCGCCGGGACCTGTTACACGGGTCCGGCAATTTCGCCCAGGCGGAACGAGAGGGGAATGAAGGACACGACGAGGGCTCCTCCCGGGTATGTGACTGCACTGGTGGTGGATTTTTCCCCTTGGATGGGGAAGGAACTGAGCTTTGATCCGACTAAGGGGCCGGGTTACATGATCCATTGCCACATCTTGGATCATGAGGATAATGACATGATGCGTCCTTTCAAGATTCTGCCAGCTAAGTAACGCTGAGCGCTGCTGCAGAGGGCATGGGCATGTTGTCGGGGCATGTTGTCGCTGGGTACATGATTCACTGCCACATCTTGGATCATTAAGATAATGACACGATGCGCCCTTTCACCATACTGCCAGCCAATTGGGTGTAATCTGACGATATGCAGGGGAGGGGATGGGGTGGGTATAACTAGATAAGGTGGTGGGAATTACGGCAGAGGCGGTAACAGGGAGTGGAGGACACGAGGGGGGGAAATGGTGTATTAGACAAGCAAGCATGCAGGTAGAGGTTTAGGAAGTGGGAGGGGTACCTTATCTGTCAGAAACATGTCACTGAAATAGGAATAAACAATTTTATTTGTAAATTTTCCTCATTGTTGTAACATTATCACAGTAATATTCTTGATACCCATTGCTAACTCTAGCATATGAAGCTAGGAGTAGAAACTCTTCGCCACAGCCCTCATTTTTACCTGCTAATCAGAAAGCCAGCATACATTCATTTATGTACCCAGTGAAGCTTTTTTCAATATGCATCAACAACCATAACACCTACACCCATTCCCATTGCACCTGAGGCTAAGTAGGCGGAATATAAAGTCCAGATCGTCAATCCCTTCGGCCACGTTGGCATCTATTATTCTTTCAGGGTTCACACAATAGCGAGTCGCAATCGAGCACATAGGACAACGAGCAGCGTTCTTGCGTGTCCCGAGTTGGTTGGTGCCTCATATTGCTGCCAGGGAACGCGCTCCGTTCACTGCGCCGCTCATATTACTTCTCCGCGTTGCGGTACGACGAGTGCCATGAGCAGGGAAACCAATTTCGTCTCGATCAAGAAAACTAATGGTATCGTTCTGTAGGCATCACGGAGGGAAGGGGAGGGAAAATAGGAAGCTGCCTGCCTCTGCAATTTTAGGTTCGAAATGGCGGTCAGCCCGGAAAGGCTGACGTGGCAGTCATTTCCCTTCCGAACCTAATCGAAGGGATATGCCTGCAGAACAGTCATTTCCCTCCAGGGAAATGCACCCCCCGGAAGGTTCCTATTTCCCCTCACCACCTTCCTCCTCGGGCAAATTTAATTGCCTCCGCCCCGCCATCGGCCACCCACCCTTCACGGGGAAGTGCGACGGTGACGGGAGGGAGGAGCTGGGCGTGGGAACACCAGACTCCCACCCAAGAAACAAGCTTCCCTGTACAGACACTAACCCAAACAGGGTTGCCAATCTCAAATCGAAAAAGAAAACACACACCAACCACCAAAGTGAAAACCCTGGGGGCCTGCTCACCACTCTTGTATGTGGTGGTGTTTTTATGTTGAAAACGCCCAGCCCCAAATAATTACCCTGGTCCTGCATTCGATGGTCACGATTTACCCCTCAACTGGGCGCGAGAAATTCCCCGAGAAGTTCGTCATTTTCCCTCGGAAACTACCTCCCCAAAATGTAAAATTTCCCATCTCGGACATTTGCCCAGGGGGGGGAAATCGACCTCGGAACCCACCTCGGAACCCTCCTCATTTTCCTTCTCCCTCCCTAAACCCCAATCGTCAGGTGCCTACAGAACGACACCAATGTCTCCGCGCCCCCCTCCTCCGCTAACATGAGCGCAACATCACGTGCGCCACGCAAAAATGCGCCTGTCCCGCCGCCAACTCGTGGTTGCAACTCAAGCGACATCCCCCTTTTTGGAAAGCATAGTGGAAGCACAGTGAAAAATGGTGATATGATAACCTTTCGTGATTTTTGAATTTCACCACCAAGGAGCCCTTGCCCCTGGCGGCAGCCCTTCTACTGGACAGCCTCGATGGACTTCAAGGGTGGCGCGGGTTGCGCGCATTGCGCCGGCTGCGCGGGTTGCTCTTGTTCCGCTGTTTGCGCCTTACGCGCAGCGAGGACGGCTGTGCTGTACTGTATCTTGAACGCTGCTGTCGCTTCAGCCTTGGACCTTGCGTCAACTCGTCTCGCCCTCCGCGCACCCTCGCTTCACTTCCCATGCCGCGGAGGCAGAACGAGAAACCTTGCCGCAATCGCGGCGCTTCCTGGGTTTACAAAATCTCGACTCCCAACTCTCGGTTCTCGACTCTCGCGATTGGGCCTTCGTTCTGACCACTGTTACTCCAGAATCTCCCGACTCTCGCCGTTCTCGGCTCTCGACTCCAGTGTCTCACCAGTAGCACGTTGTACAATAGCGCCGTATCTACGCTCACTTGGTCCTCATGGTCTCACCACCTACTTTTCCTTTCGAGCCTTTCGGGTGGAAACGCCCCGGATCCTGATGCGCAGTAGTCTGCAGTAGCGCTTTCGCTCATGGCTTCTCAGAGCCCGCACCGGCGGGTGGGCGCTTCCCAGAGCCTGCACCGGCGGGTGGGCGCTTCCCAGAGCCTGCACCGGCGGGTGGGCGCTTCTCAGAGCCCGCACTGGCGGATTCTTGCCGCGTCGGCGCTTCTCGCGCTGCTCCTCTTCTCTCCGCCCGTTCCCGCGCGCGCTATGGACGCCACCGATCACGGCGGGCACGACGGCGGGTATCACGGAATGGATTCGCACGGCAGATTAGCGTCGCGGGACGTGTCGATTAGCGAAAAACGCGTGTTGCGGAAGAAGCTCAGAAAGTTTGTGGATCCGCTGCCCTTTCCGCCGGTCGTCAATGCGGACCGGCTTTCAAAAGACTTCAGCCGAGCCGCAGCTCTCACCATCACTGCGTTTAGCGTGAAACGGGTGAGCCATTACTGGGACAGTTGCATTTGTGCTTCCGGTTCATAATTTCTCAACCATCTTAGCGCTTATTTCTCCAAAGCGTCAACGCGTCCTCTCTTATCGCATAAATTCCACCGCGATCTGCCCCTAACCCGCGTGTACGCGTTCGGGCTCACGCGCAAGTCGGCCAGCGTGCCCGGGCCGACGATCGTGGCGCGCGTCGGAGCACCGCTGCACGTGACGTGGCAGAACAACATCACGGACGAGCAGCATATCATGCCCGTCGATTACACGCTCATGGCTCCTAAGCTCAAGAAGGGGGGCGTTCCTATCAGTACGTGCGCTCTTATTCGAATACCCGCATCCCTTGCCGATACATGTTTTGAATCTCGGCTCCGGACGGGAATGTATTGTTACCCATATTGCGGTGTTGTGTTACAAGAACATTTCAGAAATTCATGTTCGTTTTCCCCCTCCCCTCCCCCACCCGCCACCCCGTTCCCCCCTCCCCTTCCCCCGGGCTGCAGCTGTCCATGTGCATGGTGCGCAGGTCTCAAGCTCCTACGACGGCCATCCTGAGGCTTGGTACACGCACTGGGGGGAGAAAGGTCCCGAGTTCGAATCCAGCCATCACCATTATCCCAACATGCAGCCGCCCAGCACCCTGTGGTACCACGACCACACCTTCGGAATGACGCGGCTCAACATTGTTGCAGGGCTTTTCGGCGCGTTCATTCTGTCAAATCCACAGGCAGAGAAAAAGTTTAACCTGCCCGTAGGCAGGTTCGACGTTCCGCTGCTGATTCAGGATAGGTCGTTTCTGTGGAACGGGCACACGTTCATGGAGGGGAAGGGGGTGACGAAATCGCATCCTGAGTGGGTTCCTGAGTACGTCGGGAATTTCATGACTGTAAATGGAAAGGTACGTTTTGTACGGTCGCAGCATGGGGGTTGGGTATCACCTGCAGCAGCAATGACTAGGTTACTTACTACTATTTGCAGGCGATGGCTGCTTTCGTGTCATGGGTGTGATGGGTTGCAATCCTTCTTTTGTGCTCACTCGCCTACACAGCCCCTTCTGAACCACTCTCTCTTGCAAACCTCACACAGTTCAACCCAACACCCATCACCCATCTCCAACCCCCTCACCATTCCCATGACCCATCCCCACCGCCATCCCCATCACCCATCCCCATCCTCCTCAACCCCATCCCCATCCTCATCCCCATCCCAACACCACCCCATGTCCCACCTTGCTCCCACCCTCTCCCCCCAGGTGACTCCCTACATGGCCGTGCAGCGCCGCAAGTACCGCTTCCGCCTCGTCAACGGCTGCAACGCCCGTTTCCTGGAACTCGCCCTCCGGGCCTCGCCCCCTGTTTCGGACGGCAGCAGCAGCACCGCCAACAGGACCAGAACCATCACCTTTCCCTTCCTCCAGATCGCCTCAGAAGCCACCCGGTGTTCCTCCGCAGAATCACCCTTGGGCCCGGGGAGCGCGCGTGTATAATTGTAGATTTCACTCAGCTGCCTTCAGGGGTGACAATTCGGCTGAAAAACCGCGCTCCTGCACCGTATCCCGGGGGTGATTTACCCACAGGGGATCTTCAGTACGTCATGCAGTTCAATGTAGAGGGTGACCCGGTTGCAGACCCCTCTACAGTGCCGGGAATGCTTAACTCTATCCCGCATCTCAACCTCGAAAACATGGCCGCGACAAGGGAAATCACCCTTGCAGAAATGGAAGACAAGGAGAGTGGAAATCCTCTAATGGGGATGATCGAAATGAAGCACTACAATGAGAAAGTCGACATAAGACCAACATACGGGACTCGAGAACTCTGGTACCTAATCAACCTTACAGGAGACACACACCCGATCCACATCCACTTCTCCCCACACCGAATCCTCTTCCGCCGCCCGTTCAACATAGAGCACTACTGGGAGAAGAAATGCAGCATTCCTGATGGAAGCTGTTACACTGGGCCGGCTGTTTCTCCCAGGAAGAATGAGAGGGGATTGAAGGACACCTCGAGGGCTCCTCCGGGGTATGTGACTGCGCTGGTGGTGGATTTCTCTTCATGGATGGGAAAGGAGCTGAGCTTTGATCCCACCAAGGGACCGGGGTAGATGATCCATTGCCACATTCTGGATCATGAGGATAACGACATGATGCGCCCTTTCACCATCCTGCCGGCCAAGTAATGCGCCGTCCATGGTGGGAAGCTGTGCTGGTGCGGAGGGCATGTTGTAGCCAGGTACATGTAACACGATGCATTGCCGCATTTTGGATCAGGGGGCCAGTGGCATTATGCG